GAGTAAGGTATTGGAGGGATCCGAGTTTAGGAAAAATAAATTTCTTATAATTCATCTTGGGTTGCATATGGGTACAATATATATAGAAACTATAAGTGTAAGTAACCAATGTGATACAGACGTATACAAAATGTAATATCTGTTAACAAAAATTTCACTCATACACAACTCTCCTTGGCCTATTGGTTGAGAGCTAAGGCTTCCAACTAAGAGGTCTAAGGTTCGAGTCTCTGTGTATGCGTTGTGTGTGTGAGTTTGCCTTAAATGGCCTAAATGTCCCAAAAAAAAAAAAATTCACTCATATTTTATTCAAATTAGAAAGAAAGTACATTACCTTTTTGTAGTGTATTCAACCAATGCTTATTCTTCTTCCTAAATGATAGGCAAAATAATTATTTTAGAATGGTCAAAATTCCATATTAACCTCCATATAGACCCTTTTTTTAAGGGTGGCTATTTGCCCACTATGGACTATATGGGGATCGGGCCAAGAATGACAATATCAAAGCTTATTAAGAGGAGTTGTTGAGCCATCAAGGCGAATGCTCATAAGCCAAAAATAAAAAATAAAAATTATGACGAGATTATTTATGATTTTTTTTTTCATTTTTGGCTACTCAGAATTAAATGAATTGGATGACCAAAGATGTATAATTATCTTGTAACTAGCGAGAATAAGAACATTGAAATGAAAAAGTTCTAATAATTTCAATAAATTTTTTAGGGGTCACACCATTTAAATAAATGACTTAATTTTGAAGGAGAAAAATGTTTAAATGGAGATACCTATGGTGCATGAAATTTGTTTTATATTCCTAAAAGAAAATAAAAAAAAAAATTATGTAATGAGGTTGTGACATTGGCCTTAAAGCAAGGTTGTGGTACAGGTCTGGAAGAAGATAGTTTTTTTTTTTTATTTAATGTTTCATTTATTCCAAACAAAAAAGGTAATTATAGCAAAGGCTGAAAAACAGACAAACCCAAAATACAAAAAAAAAAGGTAAAACAATATCCAACGAGTTGACAACCAATGACAAAGACAAAAAAAAAAAAATCAATCGGACTCAATAAATGGCAAGATGCTCCCAACACCACTCCGTAGCGAGGCAAGAACCATCCAATAGCGGCATCAACCCACAAAATACAAGCAACATCCCACAAGCCACACATGCAACCGCTGAGCACGAAAGCATGACCACCAAAGCCAACAAGGTGGTGAACAGAGAGCCGCCTCATCATCGTCCAGAACACCAATCAATTCTACACAATTGAATCGCACCGCATCGAAAGAGAAGTGGTAAACCAAAAGAACTATTCTTCTTAGTTTTACTTCTACGCCTTTTGCTATCGCCACTTGATTCTGCTCGATCAACAACTCATCCCACCATGAAACTATACATATCATGAGACTCATATCCATGCTCACCGAAATCATCATACCCCTAAGCCAAGGTAAGTGAATCGTTTAGCCAATCGGCTTAATCCAACCTTGAGTTATTCAATTACGTAGCCATATGGGCTTTCAAATCCTTATTGGACATAACCAAAATTGGAATAACAACAAAAGCCGCCTTTTCCTTCGATACATCAATAATAGGAGACAAGGACGGCTCTAATGAAGTCAAAGGTGAGTCAATAGAAGAGGATGACTCATTCAAACTAACCTTATTAACTTCACATACATCTAATTTGAGACCATCCACAATTAGACAAGAAACATTAGTGGTTTCAACATTCGCAACTGTATTAACATCCGAATTACCAAGATCAATGGAAGGCACAACCATTCCAAAAGCATGGAGAGACGGGCTAACAGGTGGATCCGAAGCTATAGGATTAGGATTAAGACTAACATAAGCATCTTGAACATTCACATTAGCCTCCTCCTCAACAACAACATGTGCATCATCAGGAGGAACTCAACATAATGGATTATTTCCAATTGATTAGCCTCTAAATAAACATTACCCTAAATCACTCGTGCACGGGAGTGACCAATTCCAATGAAGGATTAACATCATAAGGTGCCACATTTTCCGAACGACCTTCATCGCTATCAACCTCCATTTCTGCACTGGTATACCAACATTGTCATGAGAATCTCCACCACCCACATTAGCCTTTAAATGAGGATGAAGAGAGACACATTCTTTTCTAGTATGACCTAAAGCTTTGCAATGCTCACAAAATGAAGGAACTTCATCCAACAACATAGGTTGAACATAAACAAAATTTTCAAGACCCAATCGTACTTTATCAGAATACCATTTTGTAATATCAAGTTCAACCAAAACTCTAGCAACTAACGGTCGAGACTCTACAACCGTAGCATTATCAATTCAAAGAGAACGTCCAAAAAGAGCCCCGAGACCATGAAGAATCCAGGGAGAGAAGAAATGCAGACACAAATTTGGGAAGGAGAACCAAACTTGGATAATGGGGGATTCCTCAGAAATGTCCACAAATGGGGACCACTTAATTAATTAACAATGTAGGGTCGATAAGCAAAGACATGACAGTAATCCATATCACAACACAATTTAATCAGAACATGACGAGAATTGAAAAGGGTGACGAAAAATTCCCCATAAAGTTTTAAGTTGAAGAAAAACTTCCTAATTGCATCCAAAGAAGGGATATGGTTAAGGAAATAGCAAACAAGAGAGAAAGTAAAGAGGGTTGCAAGAGCCAAAACCTCTTACTCTGAAACCCACAGAGAAGGTAAACCCCGAAACAAAGTTGGCTTAAGGTCTGCAAAGGTCACATATGAGGAAGACTACGTTAGGGCATCAATAAAACAATGAGGCTTGCATTTACCATCCAAAAATCTTTGGTCCTCCAACTGGACAAGGTTAGGCGCCATAACAAAGAACCGAACAGAGAAAATCCAAACCAACAACCAACAAGGAAGACAAGAAAAAAAGTTCCAACAAAATAAGAATCTTCTTTGATCGAACGGAAGATATCATGATAAGCACAAACCCGCCTTAGGTCGAAGGCAGGCGGAGAGCCGAAAAACCTTGGGCCGATGCTAGATGCGAGAAAGGTGACGGGAGGCGGCTAGGGCCCTAGCAGCGCCCCAAGTGTATCGGGGAGAGACGAGCTAAAGTGGATATGAAGATAGTTGATGTGCAATTAAGGTTGCTTTATATAAGATAACATTGATTGCTATGTAATTAAGATTACAATGTAGGTCAAGATACAACAATGATAGTGATACAAGTAAGGCTGAGACGAAGGTTTAACTTCAATAATGATTATGTTATAAATAAGAATTTGATGAAGGTATGGGGAAAGATATAAGCTTATAGAATTTCCCAAAAAAATATTGGCTCTTATGCACTTGGAAAACCCGATGCTTTAATGAAGACCGCTTGTAGGATATCTCAAATGATTCATGCTGCTCTATTAAACTAAAAAAATCATACATGATCTTTCACGAGTCAAAATGGAACTTTTATTTGGTTTGGTCACCTGACGTAGCTCTACGTTCGGACGCCAGTAAAATAATGCCACATGTTCTCACTATTTACTGCGCGGCCCGACAGCCCCGACCCGGAACGGAAATGGGATTGCTATGTTCGCATGTTGCTAGGTATTGCTCGGTATTGGTTGATTTTGCTCGGCAATAACGAGAAATACCATTTTATGAAGAGCAATACCGAGCAATACCGAGTAATACCGAGTAATACCGAGCAATATCGAGAAAAACTGAGTATTTCTCGGTATTGCTTGGTATTGGTCTTCACAGAGCGATATTTTTCATTATTGCCAAGCAATACCTTGCAATACCGAGCAATACTTAGATCAATACCGAGCAATACGCGAACATAACATTCCCGGGTCAAGTCGTCGGGCTGCGTGTTATTGAGTAAGACCACGTGACGACATGTTATTGGCGTCCGAACGTAAAGCTACGTCAGGTCACCTGACCTAATAATTGTTCGTCAAAATGAGATGCTATTTTGGTAAAATTTTCATTTTATTTTCTGTTGGGATTTTTGAGGGATGAAATTTTTAACATGATTAACTTTTATGTAAGATTTAGAAGAAGGAACGCAGTTTAAATAAAATTAAAAAAAAAAGATCAAAAACATAAATTAGAAGTGAGTTTTTCAAAAAAAAAAGAAAAAAAATGAGTTTTCAGAAAACGTGAATTAGAACATCGCTTTCATACAACAACAACAACAACAACAACAACATCAAGCCTTTATCCCACTACGTGGGGTCGGCTACATGAATTCTTTTTCTCCATTGTGTCCTATTAAAAGTCAAATTCTCGTTTAAATCTAATAAAGAAAGGTCATTCCTAATATTTTCTAACCAAGTCTTTTTAGGTCTACCCCTACCTTTCTTAACATAAGTCAAATCTAAATATGTAAAAAATATCTTTAGGTTGAGTTTAAAAAATGTTTAACTATTGAAAATTAACATTTTTTTTTGGAAAATAATAATTAATAAATTTGAAAGCAAGGTTAAAAATGTTGTTTGGAATTTATTAATTTGAAAAAATAGTTGTAAAATTAATTTATTTATTTTTCTATAAATAAATTATAATTTTCATAAATTAGTTATAATCAATAACGTATATTTGGAAAAAATTGACGGTTAACCCCTCTGGTCAATCTAAACCGTTCCAGTTAAAACAGATTCTCCAATCTGACGGCAAAGAAACTGCATGCTAACCTGTCATACTCGCCGCCATAAAGAGCGCCGTTTAAGATTTAAATTAACTGTTCGGCAAAGTTAACGGCACCATAATACGTCCCGCTCCACTTTCGCCAACGGCCCCCGAGCGGACGGCTCCGTTAACCGCCGTCAGGCGGTTCCCTTCCTCTTTTTTTGGATTATTTATTTTATTTCTCTCTATCTGCCCTTCAACGGGCGAGGGTTTTTGAACGGCCACGACTCGAGGCAGAGCTTTCTCAGATGCTGAGTTTCGATACCCTCTCCTGCCGCCGATGAGCTTGCTTTCCATCTACGCCTCCGCTTCCATCTACCTCTGCGGCCTATAGTTTTTTTTTATTTCCGGATCTTATTGTCGATTCCGTGTTCTTTGTGGTTACCGTTGGAAATATCATAGTTCTTGATTTCCCACTCTAAACCCGTTGCTTCCATAGATCTTGATCCGAAAGCGTAATATTTGAGAATCCATTTGCTCTTATGATTTATTTGCTTGTATTTTTAGTTTGGATTCGTTTGTCCTTGCAATTGTGTTCTGCTGTTGTGGTCTCATTGTTGAAGTTAGGGCTTTCGGGGTTTTCCATCCAGGTTGCTGGTTTTGGGATTTGATCGGTTGAAGTCATGTATCCTATGAAGGCAGAGGAAAGCTGTGCGGAGAACAAGCAATCGGTTACCCCATCAGGATCGACGATATCGGAGGGAAGCAATGGATTCTCCAGGATGTCGGCTGCTGGATCAAGCCCGGCAAGCTCTTCGCCTTCTCATAGGTAATTCAAGATTGAGAATTAAATGAGGGAGTTGGGTTAAGTTCTAATTTCTTTTTTTCGGGTGGGAAAATTGGGCAAACTCACACACATCATATATGCAAGCTTTAAACTCAAGACCTCTTGGTTGGTAGCCAAAGCTCACAACCAATAGATCAAGATGAGCTAAGTTTCCAATTTTGGTGTAAATAAACTATTAGATTACTGTAATTTTTGCTAAGAAAAATATTTTCCAGGCATTAGTCTCTTCTTTAGAACCTTTCCTTCATTTGTTACTAAAATTAAGTTTTATTTATGGGTTCTTAATAAACAATGAACAATCAGCTCATTGAATCATAGATGAAGTTTTGATGTTTTTAATCCTGAAAATAGTAAAATTGTAACTTATCAATGGAAAATCCATAACTATAACTGTCAGAAAGGCAAATTTGAGAATCTAATACTCTATAGATGAGCCATCATTTTGACAGTTTTTTTGTTGGAGACTCCCACTCCATCTTACTCGGCTTTTTTGTTTTCTCTATTGTAAGTGACTCTATTCTCATCTTAGTGTAGCATGATGACCAAATGTTGCTGGCTTGGAATTGAAAGCAACTAATATAGCAATGCACCATGAAATGAAACAAAAGCAAATGAAGTTTGTTTGATCATTTGCATTTCTAGAAGGAAGTTATAGATTTTTTTTTTCTTTCATTTCCTTCACTCAACCCTACACATGCCGTAGCCTACTTACTTTTGTAGGTAGAGTTTTTTAGGATTTGTTTGGACTATTTTCTATTTTTTCTTCTATTTAATATTTGGATAAAACATGTTTGGTAATTGTTTAATAAGTGTTTTTTTCTTAGGTATTGATTGGGCTTATTTTTTTCACATTTTTTTGTTTTTTTCGTTTTTAAAAATTTGGATAAAACATGTTTATTAAGTGTTTAATATGTGTTTTAATTTTTTGTCTTTGAAAATGCTCACAACATTTTAGATGTTTTCAATTTTTTCAAAATGATTTTTTTTCTCCCTTCACCAAGCTCCATCCCTAAGGTCTTGAGCATCATCAATGCACAAGCTCTGATGTCTAGCATCCCTTGTCAAGCATTCTCCATCCTCGAGCATTTTTCATTTGGAGTCCCCTAGCATTGTCATTAAGTTCTTGAGCCTGAGATCTATCACGTGTCGTTGAGCTCCATCAACTGTGATCATGAGTTCGTCAATGAGCTCTATCCGACATCCCTAAGATCTATCCCCAAGCCATCTTTGCCTTCCACATCCATACTCTTTGTCCTAAAAAAATTATCCCAAGCTTTCTCCCCAATACAAAAAAAAAAAAACTAAGATGCCAAACAAATTTTATTTCACCTTAAAACAAAAAAAGAAAAAAATAAAATAAAATAAAACTAAAAAATAAAAAATGAAAGCAAAAAGTGATCCCAAAGGAATCCTTAGTAAATCTATGTTGTTTTCTCTTCCTTACTATACTTAGTGATTGATCTATCTCAACCTATAATAATATTAAGTATTTTGTATTAGTTATTATATATATATATATTATATTAATTAGTCTTAATTAGCCTTTGGTTATTGATTTTAAGTATATGATCATAATTACTGCCTTCAATTTAATCTTTAATATATCATTTCAATTAAATTACTAATCTCATAGTTTTTACTTTAAATGTACATAACATAACATAACATTAAATCTTTCTTTTCTATTCTCTTTTAAAGTTTAATTAAATTATAGCTTTAATATTTTCTAAATTTATTTCAAAATATAACTTTAAAAAATTTTAAATTTAGTTTTCTTAACAACAACTCCTAACTTTTAAGTAATAAATTTGTTCTAACTTTTATCATGATTTATCATATGTTAAACTTCTATGAACCAATATATTTCAAATAATTATAATTTAATATGTAATCATAGGAGAAGATCTAGAGTTTTTTCTTAATTCAAAAAAGATGATAGAAAAATAACATTGATTTGATTCTTATTGAGATAAAATTCCTTAATTATGTTCATTAGAAATTTTAAAATTTAATCATTTCTATCATTACATTAGTTAGCTATCAAAGTTCAAATCTTAAATCTCATGTTTTAGGAAAATTGAAAATCTTAACATAAATCTAAAAATTCTTTATGTTTTCAATACAACAACAAGCCTTTATTCCATTATGAGGGGTCGGCTATAAATCTTATTTCTCCATTGTGTTATATTAAGATTTAAGAGTCAAATTCTAATTTAAATCTAATAAAGAAGGGTTTTTTCTAATGCTTTATAATCAAGTCTTTTTAGTTCTATCTTTAGTTCTCAATATAAAAAATAAAATTTGGGTTTACTTTGCCTATTAAAAGAAAGAAGAAGAATTGATCTACTCGCTAGTTCGGTTGCACAATCACTCACATCCAATCTATTTCTCCTGCTTGTTTTGTTGATCGAGACTTTGTTGTTCTCCTATTTCTCTCATTTGCTCAAGCTCGCATGTCTGCTTGCTTGCTTTGCTCAAGCTTCCTCCTCTTATTTGATCAAGCCTGCAAGGCCATTCACGATCTCCTTCTCTATATCGTTCTCACTATCTCTTGCTCTTGTTTCTCCTCTCTGTCGTTCGGTTCCCTCCATCTCCCTTCTCCTCTTCTCTTGCATTTTAAAGGCAAAACTGACTAATGTCGATTCATTTGAATTGACGTTAGTCGGTTTGTTTCTCTCGTAAATGGGATATTACAATCATCTCCACTTATAAAATTTTCATCCTCGATAGATTTATTCTTATTTCCGTTCCATCTTTTTAACTGAGTAATATGTACATCCTCGTTGATGATCTTTCTCTTATGCAACTTTATTTTCTTCAAAATAATTTGAAAATTAATCTCCATCCTTTTGGCTCTATACCAATACCTCATAGTCATCGATTCCTAAATGTACTAAAGATTGCCTAATTATAATTGAAATGAGCTGCGATGCATATCTTCATAGTGCGGTAAATTTTGCTTCATATTATATCACTAATTTATCTCCTTGCACTATCCTAGGAGGGAAAAAAAAAGAATTTTTTTTTATCTCCTTACACTATTTATTATGAATTTGTCTTGCATCTACCTCCTCATAGAAAAAGGCACAAACCACTCACTGAAAAATTCAGTTGACGAGTATATTGGGACGTCGTCCAATTTATCCTAATGCTATTTTCTTCACAAGGTGGTTTGACCAAGTTCAACAAACTATTTGAAGTGCTATGGAGAGTTCTAAAAAAGAAAGCATTAATAATGCTTATATTCAAGTCACTAGGGATATGCATGCTGGAGCTGTTACTTGTGTTCAAACACAAGGTAGTTTAACCAAGTATTTTTCAATTTCAGTTGGATTACATCAAGGATCAACTTTAAGCCCATATCATTTTGCTTTAGTCATGGATGTTCTTATTAGAGATTTGCAAGAGGATGTTTCCTGGTGTATGCTCCCTGGTGTATGCTTTTTGCTGACGATATTCTTCTTGTTGACATGACTAAAGAGGGAGCTAAAGGTAAACTTGAATTATGGAGGTCAACCTTAGAGTCTAATGGTTTTCGTTTAAGTAGATCTAAAACCGAATATATGGAGTATAATTTTAGTAATAATAGATCTAGTGGGGGGTTCGTGACTTTGAGCAATCAAGTTATTAATATGAATACACATTTTAGATATTTTGGGTCTATTGTTCAGAGTGATAGTGAAATAGATGGTGATATTATCAGTAGAATTCAAGTTCGATGGATGAAGTGGATGAATGCATCGGGGCTGTTGTGTGATAGTAAATTACCACTAAAACTTAAGAGAAAATTCTATAAGTTGGTGGTTAGACCTGCAATGCTTTATGGCGCAGAATGTTGGCCATTAAAAGAGAATCATAATATTAAGTTAAGTGTTGTAGAGATGAGGACGCTGAGGTGGATGAGTGATTTTACTCCTAAAGATAGTATACATAATGAGCATATGTATGAAAAGATTGGAGTAGCTCTAGTGGTAGATAAGATTAGGGAGAGTCGCCTTAGATGGTTTGGTCACATAAAATACTGGCCTTCTGATGACTCGATTAGGAGAGTAGATGTATTAGATTTAACCTATGTTAAGAAAGATAGAGGTAGATCTAAAAAGACTTGGTTAGAAAATATTAGAAATGACATTTCTTTATTAGATCTAAATGAGAATTTGACTCTTAACCGGACACAATGGAGAAAAATGATTAATGTAGCCGATCCCACGTGGTGGGATAAAGGCTTGATGTTATTGTTGTTATTTTCTTCACCACCTCTTTGCTTCTCCGTTTAGCACAAATGTAGCAAGTGACACTTTTCTCTCATTTGGACAAGATATGTTATCCAATATCTTCTCTATATGTTATTCATTTTTTTATCTCAAAATGATCTTTCAACTCTATGAAATAATGGCGGTCACATGTCTTAAAATAGCTTCAAATATTTGTCCATCCCAATTCCATGCTGAGAGATCGAGCCTTAGTGTAATAATATGATATTTGTCCTCATCCTCATCTGGTGAGAGCATTGGTGTTCACGTCACATTAGGTGGCACTCGTCTCCCACCATATTTTTATTTGTCACATTCTTTTGATCTTCCATGTTCCTAAGATATATACGATAATTAACATACTATTTAACAAAACCTCCAATTTGTCTTACAAAAATTACTCGTTAATCATTATAATGCCTATTTTGTTTTGATTGATATTTTTTTTTTCAATTGAACCTTATGCTTAGATACCACTTTTGTCATGAGTTTGCTCGGAGGCTCAGAATACTAAGGTAGGAATGAATAGTCAAATGAATAATTTAAATTCTATTAACTAACATTGATTAATAATAAACTACTTAAAATATGTTAAAAGAATCAGTGAAACCAGATAACTTATTTTTTAGAATCACTGAAACGGTAATTTTTTTTTATTTAAAGATAACTTATAAAAGATCTGGAAGCATTTAGTAGTATAATAATATTGTGAATAAGTAAAAATTCTCTTCTTTTGTAAATAATACAATTATCACAGGAACTATCATCTAATTAGAATCATTTAAGATGCTTCCTTTTTTCACTTTCCTTTCCAATTTTTTTTTCAATTAAGCGTGTGGTATGTTGCTCATCTAACCAATACCATAAGGGAGTGAACTCTATCAATCAAGTATTCACATGCAAATATTACTATAAGAGTCGTTTCATATACATTATACATGTCATTCCATACCTTTTATAGTATATCTTAGATGACATTTGATAGAAAATTTAAATGCCAACCAAAACTATCATTTTCTTTCAATATGTTCAATATTTTCTTCAATAGAGATAAATCATAATTGAGTTTGCTCATGTTTTGAAGGCAAATTGATTATCTTTATATAAATTTAAATATTATTTATCTTTTCAGTATAAAAGATAAGATTAGAGTTTACCTTGCCCAATAGAAGAAAGAAGAGGAATTGGTCTTTCTCAGTCGATCGGCCCCACTATTACTCACATTTAATCTATTTATCCCTTATACTTATTCAATTGCTTTAACCTCTTGTTTGCTGAAGCCTGCAGGCTCGCTCACAATCTCCTTCTCTATATCTTTCTCCCCATCTCTTGCACTTGCTTCCTTTCTCTGTTGTTTGACTCCCTCCATCTCCCATCTCCTCTTTGCTCATGTTTTGAAGGAAAAATTGACTAATATCGGTTCATTTCTTTCGAAAATGGGGAATTATAATCATAGAGTTTTTCAAACATGTTTTCTTGACATCAAAGATCAACATTAGGTTTATATGTATTTATTATTGGAAATAGAGAAGCTTAGTAAAGATATTCAATTTCAATACTAGTGTATACTAGTTTTAGTGACTATAGTTTTGATAGTTGGTGCTTTTTTTAGCCAAGTGAAACACTATAATAATGTAAGTAATTTTAAGAGACCTAATATTAGTATAACAACAATTGAGTTCATGGTACAATCTCATTGGTTATGAATAGATAAGAGTAAAAGCTCAAAATAGTCCCCCGACTATCAGTAAATGTCTAATTTAGTCTCAAAATTTGATGATATTCCAATTTAATCCCTGACTATTAAAAAATATCCCAATTTGGTCACATGGCAAAAAGTAACGGCTAAATTTAACCCCAACAGTTAAATTGAGGATTTTTTGAGTATTATGGTGTATGTGAGATTATATTATATTATTTATATATTTTATTATTTATTATATGAAAATAAATAAATAAATCATAATGAAAGTTCACCAACTAAATAACAAGAGTGAATGATTAATAAACGTGGTTAACTTTTATTATAATTTTTATATTTATTTTAATATAATAAATAACAAAATATAGAAAAATAATAATATAATCTAATATACATCATAATACCCAAGATTCTCTCACATTCAACTGTGGGGGTTAATCTTAAATATTATTTTTGATCTTGGAATCAAATTGAGATATTTTCTAATAGTCGGAAGATTAATTGGGATAATATGTAAGTCTGTAATTAAATTTGACATTTATTAATAGTCAGAGGATTATTTTGAACATTTACTGGAATAGATAATTATCGATGTTGGAAGGTTTGGTGATACATTAGTGTGATATATTTTAGTGACTTAAATTTAGTAGACAAAAACAGTGAGGGAGTATAGATGAGGATATTATTCAGAGAGAAAGTTGTATGATTAAATGGAGAAATGTTTTGAGAGTGCTATATGGTAAGGCAATATCATATAAACTTTAATGATAATTTGTAATTAATAATTAGCTCAACACATTATATGGATTCAAATTTTAGGTATTAAAGAAGCCTATTATTCCTTTGGGTTTGTTTGGGACATCTTTTTCACAACTTTACTTTAAATAATGTTATCACAGTTTTATTTTACTGTAGTTTTTCATGCTTTTTAGAAGTTTTTATGTTGAGAAGGTTTTTCCTTCCTAACTAGATCTGCTATATATATATATATATTTACTAACTAGATCTGCTAAAGTATGGTAGTTGTAAGAAGTTACAATCTCATTTTTTCTTGAGTGAAAAATTTAGAATTGTTTGACTACCAAATTTTTTTTCCTATAATAGTCCAGAAGAACTAGTTTTACAAACAATTGAGCCATCCCAAATAAAACCTTAGTTGGTTGGCATTAATGAGAATGTTAAGAAAAAATTGTGGTTAAATTATGAGATATATGATGATAACAATTATATGAGAGAGATGGTGAGTTTTCCCCTATTGGGGATGTATTGTAAAAGTATTCACAGGTGTTTTAAACACGTCATGGAGGGTAGAAGTCACATTAGAAGGGGACTAAATAAAATTAATGCGAAAGAGTAAGAAGTAAAATGGATTTGCCAAAGATATCATTGCTAAAGTTGTATAAAATGGCTTACATAATGTAGAATTAGCATCTCATATAACACTTAATATGAACGAATGATGAAGACTTTTTAAAAATTGGTCCCAAATAGTTGGGATAGACTAATGATTATGATGACTCTTTGAAATTGCTGTTTGCATGCTTCGGCGTAAAAAAATGTACTTATGAGTCAAAAACAGTATGCTCTTTAAATTTATCCACATTTAAGTTGGTTCCATTGTCAGTTATTTTCGAATCAACACATTGATGCGCACATTGTATTCAATGCCCGATTCCATCTTTTGTACATCTATCTCACATGGAAAAAAGGCAATTTACTCTGAAACTATTTTCTTAATTATTTATCGCACTAAAGGTATTTAACCCAAAACCTTATTACAATTGAAACACTTTATTTCTAACTATTTATCTTATTTGTGTATACAGAAGATGAAAAGTCACTTTTATGTAGGAGAATTTGGGAATTTAATTATTGATTTAAAAATGTCTCATATTAGCTGCTACATAAGCACCTGCTGGAGCCTAATTAACGCGTGGAACTATTTGTAGAGGGTAATTGTTCTCTTTTGAGTAACCTAATATTGACTTGTTGCCTCGGTCGGTGGCCAACCCTGTCTCTTAACCAGGTTGACAAACAAATGCACGTATCCTCACATTGAAGATCAAATCTTTTGGTACTCCTCGTCAATGGATCTGATTAAATGTTCTAATTGAATGGAAGAGATTTACTAAGTGAAAATTTTCTTTTAGTGCTTTTAACAGTAGTATTGATTGGGTTATTCTGTAGTGATCTTAAGTTTTGTTTTTGCCACTGTTCCACATCCGGTCGAGAAATGCATGGTTTTCTACTATTCTAATTTTTATCGATGCTGCAATTTAGGAGGATGACTGGTCCCATAAGGCGAGCAAAAGGTGGTTGGACACCAGAGGAGGTGAGTGTCAAACTGTTTAATAATATTTTGTACTTATTCATATACTTGTTTCAATAATTGAATTTCTAAATTAAATGATTTTAGAGGAGGTTATTCTAGTTAAGCTTACTGCATCTTTGATCGACCTTAGCTTCTATCACTGCAAAGAGAAGTTAATTTTGTTCTTGACAAAATGTTCGTTTTCTAGCTTATCTAGAAATTTGGGCGTCACAGATTCTAATTTCAAGATTTGTGATTTATGTGGTTTCCCTTTGAAGACTTTACCTGTACGGGGGGGTAGTTTTACCTAGGTTTTGAACATGAAATTTTCTTGCAGTAATTTTTCAGTACTTTGTCTATCTCATTCCTGTGCAAAAAAATGCTTGTGGTTATAATGATTTCTTTACAAGGTTTGGCGGTCTTTGATGGCTTATCACAGGATGAAACACTTAAGCATGCAGTTGAGTTACACGAGGGAAGAAGTTGGAAGACAATAGGTTTATTTCTAGCTTTTTCTGTTGTCATTGCCCTGTTTTGTCCTAATTATCTGTATTTTGTTATTTTTATTTAAGAACTGCAGTTTCTTACACATGAATATCATTTGTTGCGTACATTTAGGCTGCTAACATGTAATGACGGTAGCTGCCGAAATGAGGATGGACATCTGCTTGATATTAGTGATGGGATTTGGGAAATTTATAAGCATGAGGAGGCTTAAGAAAGCTAAACCTCTTTTGAACTCTACATGGTATTAAAGTAGCAGACTACCCATAGATGCTTTTTCAGGGTATATGCATTTGTTATAGAGTTCATATATTAATAATACTTTAGCAATATCAAATATAGCGGCGAATAAACACCCCATAGATCACAATCATAAGGCACGCAAGTTTAGATAATTAGATGATATCCATCCACAAAGTGGTTAAATAATCTACTAAGCTTCGAAATGGCTACGTGGAGTGATTATACTTTATTTAATTTGTATAATTAAGGATGGAGATACAACTTTATCTATGCCATCAAATGAGAGAATGCGATCACCTGCTACGAAAATAAGGGTTGGACGTTGAGAATGAGATAGTATTGCTCTTACAACTGCCCCCTTCTCTATTGTTGGCACCCTCTCTTCTCTCTATTTGCTTGTGGGTTGTGGATGTTTAAAATCATTGATTTCTTCCCATGTTATAGAATTACGTAAGTGGATGGGCGTGATTTTAACATATTTGTCCAGGAAAATTTTGATTTCTTCATTTCCTGACGTGCATCTTCTTCTTTTTATAACATTACAAAGGTTTGTTTATGCATTTGGCTTTTTTTATTAAAGTTCAAAAGGCTAGGTAATTTACTTGTAAAGAGGCCATGAGACTCCAAGAATGTCAGAAGTCTATGTTTATGCATATATCCTCTTTGCACAGTTTATGGAGGTCAATCTTAGAGTCCAAAGGTTTTCGTTCGAGTAGATCTAAAACCAATTATATGGAGTGTAATTTTAGTAGTAATAAATTTAGTTGTGAAATTGTGACATTGGGTGCAAGTCATTAAACAAATTGCATGTTTTAGATATCTTGGGTCTAATGTTCAAAGCAAATGGTGAAAAAAGATGGGGATATTATTAGTAGAATTCAAGTTGGATGGTTGAAGTAAAGGAATGCATCAGGCTTGTTGTGTGATAGAAAGTACCTGTCAAATTTACAAGAAAATTTTATAAGATGTTGGTGAGACATGTAAGGTTTTATGGTGTTCAATGTTGGCCATTAAAAGAAAAACCCCCAAACTTATGGAAAAATTTTATAAGATGTTTGTGAGACTTGCAATGTTTTATGGTGTTGAATACTAGCCATTAACAGAAAAGCATAAAATTAAGTATTGTAGAGATGAGGATGTTCAGGTAGATGGGTGGCATAACACTTAGAGACAAAATGCAAAACAAATGTATACATGAAAAGATTGAAGTAGTTCTAGTGAAAAATAAGATTAGAAAGAGTCGGGTCGGTCTTTTGATAATCGTGTTAGGAGAGTGATAGGAAATACTTGATTTCAAGTAGTTCATAATCAAAGTCTGAAGCAAATCGCGATAATTTCTGCTGTTCACAGCAGAAAAACAGTAAATTCTGGACCAAAACAGAGAAAACCTGAGAGAAAAATGGAGAAAAACTCGCCCAAACACTTGTACTTTACTAGTAGATGAAAGAAAACTTGTAAGATACAAAGATCCTCAATTCGAGAGGAGGATCGCACTCTCCCAATCTCTAGAATTCGTTCTAGAGCCCAAGCCTCCAAGAAAACCCTAATTGCAATCAAACATAACATGAAAAACTCCCTAATTCCCTCATCCCCTTTAATACAAGATATTTCCTAATTTAATTTCCCTCCCAAAACCAATCTCCCCACTCCGTTTGAACATTCGAATCCTTTGGAGAAGTGGGGCCCGCACATATTAAGCATTTCGGTTTAAAGGAGGCGGAGGTCTCCGCCTCCTATAAACCAGCGGCTGGTTATGCCGCTGGTTCTGGACCGGTTCACAGAGAACCGGTCTAACAGAGAGTATTTGTATTAGGTTTGACCTATGTTAAGAAAGGTAGAGGTAGATCTAAAAATACTCGGCTCGAAACAATTAAAAATGACTTGGTTCGAAAATATTAAAAATGAACTTTTCTTGGATTTAAATGAGAATTTGACTCTTAATAGGACACAATGGAGAAAAATGATTCATGTAATTGATTCCATATAGTGGAATAAAAGTTTTTTTTGTTGTATTTTTTTTGTGTGATGTTTCTTATGAATTTTATCCTATGTTGTGTACATACGGAATTTCAGTTGGTTTCATGTTTAACGTTTTTATTATGTAGCAAAATCTGTTCCGGGTAGGACAGATGTGCAATGTCTGCATCGGTGGCAAAAGGTTCTTAATCCAGCACTTGTTAAAGGTTCTTGGGCTCCAGAGGTCTGTCATTTCAATTTAGCATTCTTCAACGAGTACAATTCGCCATTTTTTTGTCTAATTTACCTGTCCTTATACAGGAAGATGGCACTATCATTGAACTTGTTGCTCAGTATGGGCCAACTAAATGGTCTGTAATTGCAAGATCTCTTCCTGGACGAATTGGAAAACAATGCCGAGAGAGGTACTATTTTGTGTTTTCTTAAGTCTAACTTGCACAAAACTGACTATGTTTTTAATCGATTTAAATGAAAAAATTTCACCTCTTTTTTACCTTTATTTGTTGGCCTTCTTTTGTGTGGATCAATCTAAATTATCCACATAAGAACAACCGTTAAACTTTTAGTTGGTATTGCGTGAAGGAATGGCTTTTATTTGTCTATATTCCTCATAACCACTTAATTAACTTGTTTCAGTAGAACTTGCTGATTAAAAAAATCTGCAATTGGAAAGTGTCCAAATTTTCGCCCACACGCATGGTAATCTGTTCATTTTAATCATAGAAAATGTTTATTGAAATAAATAACTAACAAACAACAACAACAACATCAAGCCTTGTCCCACTACGTGGGGTCGGCTACATGAATCCTTTTTAGTCATTGTGCCCTGCTAAAAGTCAAATAGTGAAATCATTTTCCTTGAACGATAGTGGCATCATAGTAAACTGAAGGATGGAAGTAATAATAAAGCTAAAAAACCATTAGTTCTTGGCTCAATCTTATCCCAGATGCTCTCTATCTGTTGGGATGTTCAACCAAAGAACATATCCATGAGGACCTTTTTTCATCTTTCATTCTTTCACCAAACTAAAAGGTGTATGACCTAGTGTCATAACATTTTAATAAGATATAAGTTCAGATATATTTCTGTGGTTAGAGATGTTATTTCCATTAATTATATGATTTCTAAGCATATATTTATGCTTAAACTTTTGGCTATTCCTCTTCTTTAGAAGGTTTTAAGATTCCTAGGATCAGTCAAGCAATGTATCTTTAAAGTCGTACGTACTTGTGATTTTTGATACGTCTTGGAAGTAAAAACAGCAAGTAGATAGGAAGCAAATTACATGAATCAAATATTAGGACTGATTTTTGAATTTTCTTTTCAACAATAATGAAAGATACAAGTGATCTACTATTCGAGAGGTCTATCAGCTCTCCCAAAAATCTTAGATGTCGCTAGAAAACTCACAACAAACTCTAGAATAAACTTCAATAAAACATAAGCTCCAAACCCTAGACCAAACTCTCATTTAAATAGCCATAACACAATATACACAATTAAAACCTTCCTAAAGAGCATAAACACAATTAGGAGACCTTCATAAACAATTAAACCCTTCATAAATAACATAAACACAATTAGAAAACTTTCCTAAATAATTGAACTCTTCCTAAACAGTGTATACACAATAAGCTCTAAACAACTCTCTTGATTAGGAACCTTCTTAAACAGCTTCCCCTTAATTACGAATCTTCCTAAACAATTTTTCCTTAATTAAGAACTTTCCTAGACAACTCCCCCTTGATTAAGAACCTTCAAAAACAGCTTCCTCTTTATTAGGAACCTTCCTAAACAGCTCGCGTATCAATTTCCTATCAAATGGTGTATTTTCTCATATTTTGACTTTTCATTTTCTTGCTTGGGTAATTGATGGTTAGTAGTCTTTGGGGAACTCTACTTTTTATGTTTATCCTTCTGTTGAAAATTTTGTTGCAGTTTTTTTTTTAAGATTTCTTTTTTATTTCACTTTTCACAAAATTGAATAGCAATGCGCCAATGCCTATAACTTTCAAAAATGACTTCCCAAAACCTTCCAAACACTCCCTTTACTAAGGAAAGGCTATTAATTTGAGAAGTTTCTAATATTTGCAAGATAAGTGAAATCTTTATATCTTGATTTTCATTTTATCTTGTTCTTGACCTGCACATATTTCTCAATTTGACTTTTCTTGATTCAACTCACCAATGGCTTAATATTGTAAAGGTGGCATAATCATTTAAGCCCAGATATAAGGAAAGATGCTTGGTCTCCTGAAGAGGAAATGAAGCTCATGGAAGCCCACCTTAAGCATGGGAATAAATGGGCTGAAATTGCAAAGATGTTACCCGGAAGGTATTGATTCTTTATGTTTGTTTGCTGCGTGTATTTATTTTGAAGCATTTTGTTTAAAACAAACTTTATAAATACTGTCTCAGCAGTACTACTGGTAGGCATTTAATTTTGAATTGAGAATCATAAGATTATTTAGTGTATGGAAAGAAATCATTTGCCTTCTCATTTTATCAAGTAGATGAAATACTTATTGAAATAAATACCGAATTCTAAGTAATGTAGGAAATGCATTCTTAAGTGTTGAAGTTGAGAGAAAATTTCCATAGCTTATTTTCGTAAGCTTGTAGATCTGCAACTTTCTGTCATCATATCCAACAGCAGCAGTTACTGCCACCTTATACCTGGTATTTATAGTTGACTATTTTATTTGGCATTTTTATTGCTTGCATTTTAGTTTTAATTATAATCTTTGTTAATTATTTTGCAATTTCTTTTGAAAAAAAAGCATATAGATAGAAATAAAAAAAAGGATTCATTTAGCCGACCCCACGTAGTGGGACAAAGGCTTGATGTTGATGATGTTGATGTGAGGTAGAAATCTAGGTTAAGAAGAGATATCTATTGTTAATTAAGTTATGGTAGCTTTTGGAATAGTTTAGTTAGCAAATCGTTTGATGAACTTTTACAGATTACGCGGATGCTAAATGATTGGAGAAGTATTTTGATGTCAATTTTCAAGATCACAAGATGTTCAGAAATGTGGTAATTAAATTGATTCATAAAATGAAATTACGGGAGGCATTTCAGAAATATTACTTGGAAAAATCAAGTTGATATTGAAAAATAAAATTTGTTTATATGAGAAAGATCTAAATTGGAGCTGATCATTATGTTATGACAAACATTGGAAAAGTATATAGAGAAATCAAAGGATTTTCATATGCTATTCATTGGACTTGAAAAGGTATATGATTGGATCAAAAGTGTGTGAAAGTTATCAATGACGTGAAAAGTCTTTATATGTTATAACATCTTTGTAATGTCTCCCCATTTGGGAGTAAATGGGCCGGAATTGCAAAGATGTTACATGAACTTATTGATTCTTTTAGTTTGTTTGCTGCATATATTAATATTTAAAGTATTTGTTTAAAACAAAACGTATAAATATTATTTCAACAATTCTATTGCATTTAACTGGTAGATTGGATGCACAAACATTAACACGAGGACATGGATATGACACGATAAGGACATGGGATATGTCTTTTATTGATAATTTAGGATACGGAATTACGGACACACATTAGACATGATATTATGTTTTATATTTTAAAATTTAAAATAATGTGTATAAATTAAACAAAATAAATATTATAAACTTATAGGGTATTAATGGTCATTATTTTTTATTATACAAAGATATATAGAAAATATCAAAAATAGGGGTGTCAAAATTCGAGTTAGTGGGCAATGGATATTGGGTCAATGCAACATAGATACAGACACACATTAGACATGCTATTATGTTCTATATTTTAAAATTTAAAATAATGTGTATAAATTAAACAAAATAAATATTATAAACTTATAGGGTATTAATGGTCATTATTTTTATTATACAAAGATATATAGAAAATATCAAAAATAGGGGTGTCAAAATTCGAGTTAGTGGGCAATGGATATTGGGTCAAATTCGAGTTAGTGGGTTGACCCAGACCTGGCCCAATTTTTCAAATGGGTCATAAATTGAAATCCTAACCCAACCCGTTTGTTAAATAGGTCGATCCGAACTCAGATTTTTTGGGCCGGGTTCAATAATTGACAACCCTAACCGACAACCCTAAGCACAATTTAAACAAATGAAAAAAATCATAACATAAATTGAAATTAATATAATTAAAAATATTTCATTGTATAATAAATTTATAGAGTTATTGTTATATACTATTTATTTGAAGGATTTATCTCAATTCAATTTGATTATTTAGTGTATATTTGAAGAATATTAGGCTTTAGTATCAAGAGAAGAGTATGTCAATCATTACCTCGTTGGGCTTGGGGACCGGGTTTGGCATTGAGGGGAAAGGATATAGATCGGTAGACTTTGTAGTCAAGAGGGGAAAGGAAGTTGAGAGACAAGCATGAGAGCATCGAGCTTTAGAAGCTGCTAGCTGGATGCATAGATCCATCAATGTCGATCCAAACCCTTGCAGAAAGGAAAATTTGTGGTGAAATTATTTACGAGAGAAGTGTCGGAAAGAGAAATGAAAAATAGAAAAAGTTTGGTTTTTATAAAATTTTAATTAAGTTCTTATAACATGCATGTCTGATTTTCTTAATTGGTACATGTTAGATGTGTGTCGATGTCCGACACAGGTTAGACATTGCATATCCCAGAACATTAAGTGTTGGTACATCATAAAATGATAGTCATGTTTACCTTTGAATCGAGAATGACAAAATTTTGAAGTGTATGGGAAAAAAAACTGAACCTTCTCATTTTTTAGCAAGACTTCTTTTCTTCTTTTTATTTCTCTTTTGTTTTTCATATGTTTCTTTTTCTATTTTCTACGCGTCCATTTAGTTTCTTGCTTTTGTCTTTGTTTGAATGATGCTCTTTATTTTCTTATTTTGCATGCATCAGGTCAGGAAGTCATTCCCTATTCCGGCCAGCCCATCAAACTCAAGTTAGATAAGATATTAGTTGAAATAAATATTATGTTCTAGGCAATTTTGGAAACACAATCTTTAAATATTCAAGTAAAGAAGAAATTTTGATAGTGTATCTCTGTGAACTTGTAGGCCTACGACCTGTTGTCCTGTTGTCATCATCTCCTGCAGCATTACTCATTGCCACCTTATACCAACTATTTAGAGTTTACTATTTTATTTATTTGGCATTTCTTATTGTTTTGCTTCTTGGTGTTAATTCTAGTCCTCCTTTCAAATTATTTTGCAATTTCTTTGAAGAAAAACATGTCGGTGGAACTCTAAGTTGAAGAGAAATCTATTATTATTCAAGTTGTTCTAGCTGTTGAGGTTTAGTTAACAATCCTTCTATAAAATTTGAAAGAGAAAGTAGATGACAAATAAATGGAGAATATGTATTTTGGCATCAATTTTCAAGGTCACTAGTTGTATGAGATTAAATTGATTCATAAAATGGAATTTTGGAAGACGATGTTGAAATATTTACTTAGAAAAATCATAATCATATTAAATAATAAATTTAGTCTATACCAGAAAGGTCTATATTTGAGGTGATTTTTATGTTAGGATAGGCAATGAAAAAGTACATACAGAAATAAAAGGATCTTCATATGATATTCATCGGGCTTAAATGATACATGATTGGATCATTGGCTTGATTTTGTGGGCTCGAAAGATAGAATCATCTGAAAGATTTACAATTGAGTGCACTCCTAAGTTGCAACTATCTTTTGGAGATCAAAATAATGGAGGCAGCTCATTTCTTCGTTTCAAAGCCTCCTAATTTTTAGACATTTTGATTATCTATCCTAGATGAGTGAAATCATTGGTGATTTCCTTAAAATGATGGAAAGGATGAGATTTTTGTAGTGTGGGCTCCGAAAATTTGGCCCCGGCCTCTGCCCGCTTTGCTTTTTCTTTCAGGGGAGTTTCAACGGATTAAGTTCCGGGATAAATTTTGGAAGGCAGATTGGTTTGTAGATAAGACACTACCCAAAGATTTCATCCTCATTTTACGAGGACTTTATGATTTGAGTTCTGGTTTCCTATAGGCGCAAGCCCCTATAGTTAATTACCCCTCCCGATAACGAGAGAGAACTTTCGATTAAGGTTAGTTGTCGATCAGATACGTAGAGATACGTGTTATCTGATATATAGTAGCAACATGAGTATTGGGTTTTGGAAATTTGGATGAATGATATTTAAAATTGGAAATTGCACCATCTTGCACTTAAAGTGGAGTGGGGGAATGGATGATTGACCCGCGCAACATCCTTAGACGTTAGGTGTATACCTATGACATGCTCGCCGGGGCCCATGTGGGTGTATGATTTTATCGATGAATCTTTCTTATAAAGGGCCTTGAAGACCTAATATGAATGTATAAAATAAATATCCTGGTCGACCTCGTGACTTCATATTTATTTAATAGTTCGAACCGTGTCGAAAAGGATCGGGTTCGAACTTAGATTCATCATTTGATCCGCGCAACATCCCTAGATGTCACGTGTGTACTAATAACATGCTCGACGGGGCCAGTACGGGTGTTTGATTGCATACTCCCTTTTGTGTACTTATGTGTATACTAATTACAGTGCATGTGCGGGGGTATTTTTGGAATATTTGACGGGTCTTTTACGACAGCTCGTAGGAGCTTGCATTTGTTGTAGTACTTTCATATTTGTTTGTAGGAGATATGTTGGATGCGTAACGGATCTCCTACAGTGGCCCGTGGGCATTTGCATTTCACCAGGCATCATCTACTCTTGCTTGTAGGAAGCTGGTGCATTCTGCTGACGATGGACAATCATTGTAGCAACTTTGCTATAACACTAGTAGGTAGCTTGGGTATGCTACGAACATACTGCTTTTATATGCATAGAGATCAATATATATATTTGTTAGTCATTTGAATGGTAGTTGATCATAATGGTATTGTAACCTCTACTGCATGCTACTGATCATCACCCATAGTTATATTATTGTGCATATGGAGAATATTCTATCGTCGCTAGAGAGCATCTACCCTTACCATGATCTTCTACTCAATGTTTAAAATTGCACAAATAGGTATTGAGGCATTTTTTGTTCATGAGACGAGACGTAAGCCTCAAGGCGTTTTGAGGCGTAAACCTCAAAATAAAATATTACATTAAGTGCAAATAAATGTTAAAAGTAAATTTTTATATAGTACCTAAATTATATGCTAAAATATGACATATTATCTTTCTATTGAACTATGAAGTAACACAATAACATATGAAACAAAAAATTGCACTATATATAAAGTGTTTGGTGATAAATTGCATGAAATATAATTGAAATACAAATATTACATTAGCAAAAAATTA